TCCTCGTGCTAGGGAGGTTCCCTAGGCTTTTCGGGGGGTTTCGGGGCTAGAGAGAGGTTCTAGAGAGAGAGTAAAGAGAAGAAAGAATGGGAAATGTGTGAAGAAAAATGAGGGTGGGAGAGGTTCTATTTATAGAGTGAAAAATGGCTGAACTTGGTGCCACATGTCACCATCTAGTGGCAAGACTTGGGGAGAAAGCAATGGCCAAGATTGTGCCACATCACCCATTTTTGCACAGCACACTTCCGACTTCTAAAATCCGTAACTTTCACATACGAACTCCGTTTTTGATGTTCTTTATATCCACGCGTAGGTAAAAATAAGATCTACAACTTTCATTTTGACTCCGTCGGCTAATTCTCGACCGATCTTAAATTTAACAGTACGAGGAGATTATACTGTGAAATGTCCGCGTAAAATTCATAACTTCTACATACGGACTCTGTTTTCGTCTGTCTTTTTACCGTTGAGTTCCTATTAATGAGATCTTCAATTCTCAATTAGGTCGCGTAGGCCAAAAACCGCTCGATCTAAAATTCGAGTTTCGGGCTGTGCACTGCTAAGCCAAATCTTAGAAAATTCATAACTTCCTCATACGAAGTCAGATTTGCGCGTTCTTTTTTTTGTATGTTCTCGGTTTAACATATACTACAACTTTTGTTTAGATTTCTTAGGCTAAAAAGTTCTCCATCGTAAATTCACTATTTACGTCTCCCGAGGTCGTGCCGGTTTTGCCGTAAAACTTCGACGGACCATAACTTCTTCGTTATAACTCGGATTTCAACGTTCTTTATATGTACGGAACCCTTGAGACGTATTCTACAACTTGGTTAAGATTATTTATTCTAAATAATCTTTTGTCAAAATGTCATTTTTGACCCCTATTATCTCTAAATTGACTAGCCCGGATCTACGGGCGTTACACATACGCCACTCAAGGCTATAGTTGTACAAGACCTTCCGGTCCATGTGTCTCAGGGGACTTCCGTCCCACAATCCTGGTAGACCTTCCGGTCCTACCCATAATGACCTTTCGGTCCATATCATAATGACCTTCCGGTCCATACATACTACTCATAACATAACATAGCATATACATATTAAATAACAACATACATCACATACTCCTCATAGCACATAAGACCTTCCGGTCACACATATTACCACTCTAGGTAAAGTATAGTGAGAAGACTCACCTCGTACGATGTCGGATAATCTCTCTTGCTTGATAACCCGACCTAGCCTTCTCCTATTAACATAATAACATTTCTAATCAATACCTTCTCATGTCCTTACTTCTAAAGGATGGGTAGAAGACCATTCTACCCCTCCCTGATCTCTCATGAACCAGCTTGACCAAAACCCTAAGTTCAATTGAAGTCAACTCCAGTCAACAGTCAAACTTTGACCCGACTCGTCGAGTGCACTCGGGTGACTCGGCGAGTCCAAGCGTGTCCTCCGAATCCTTCTAAGTCTTTACTCGACGCGTCGAGTGAACCTTCCACTCGACGGGTTACCTCTGGTCATGAATCGCGGGGCAACCCCGACTCGACTCGTCGAGTTCCCTATGGACTCGGCGAGTTCCTTCCATAGACATACTCAAATGACCTTCTGAGGTCAGATATGCTTCTCTAACTAATAGATCTGACCTTTAAACACTCGAAAGTCACGTAAAGGTCTGACCTTTATACTCATGCAACACTCATAAGGCTCTTTTTGGTGAAATAGCTCCTAAAATGGCAACCTAGATTCAAAACTCCATTGGAAATGCATAAAGCTGGATGCTTGGGACTCCCTGGACCCAAAAGGGTCCAGATCTCTAACACAACTCGAAAGGGGGGGGGGGGTTTGAGGTATCGAAGACCCCAAAAGGAATGATTCAAGCCCTAACCCCAAATAATGAAATCCATACAATAGAGAGAAAGAGGAGTCCGATTTGGTACCTCAAGATGAACTTCTTGATTGGCTAACTCAGAATAGCAACCTCCTTTGACCCTTCTTGCTGGATCTCCTCTCCTTTCTTGCAAAATCACACCAAAAGCTCAAATGGCCTTCTCTCTCTCTCGCTCTACACACTCAAGCTCGATGGGGGTTCTCTCTCTGGAATGGTAGCCGCAAATGAAGGCCATAAGTGCCTTTAAATAGGGCACATGCCCGAGGATTTAGGGTTTCCACCCACAACGCCTACTCGGCGAGTCTACTCTTGGACTCGTCGAGTAGTTCATTAAACTCACGTGGCCACCCCGCTTCTACTCGACGAGTTATAGCACCAACTCGTCGAGTAGGTCAATGATTCACAAAAATAAATAATTAAAAATAATATACCTGGAAATCCGGGTGTTACAGAAGTGGAGAAGCTTAGTAGGAAATTTGGGAGTGTCACTTGTGGTAAATGCAAACAAAAAGGACACAACAAAAGCACATGTAAAGGTCAAGGTGCAGGTCAACAAGAGGGTGGAGGGGCTAATGAGGGTCATGGTCAAGAGTAGTTTGTATGGTCAAGTGTAATGTTAAGTTGTTAAATCATCTTTTGGTCTAATTTGTTTAAGAAACTGGCATATGTTGGTTGTTTTAACAGTTATTAGTATGTTAAGTTATTTTGCAATTCTAAAACTCATGTGGTTGCTTCTTTTTTGTTACACTTGGATATTGTAATGACAATTGCTTTTGGTTATGTGCAATGGTATTGTAATTTGCATTGACTTACTTGGATTATATCTTATGATTCAATAACACTTAGTAAGTTCCAAAATGGTATTGTACTTTTCTTAATACCATTTCCTGTATTGTATTACCATTATAGTCTCCACAATAACAACAATTAAATAAGATAATATTCCATACATTATAATTCGAGGTACAAGGTTCATGAAATGACCATTATAGTATACAAAGGCCTATTCATCAAAACAATAAGATCCCAAAAAAACCTTAGCACCATAGGTAGAACTTAACCCTAATCCCTAATTCCACATCCAGAAAACAAGAAAAAAAATCCAACTGCACCACAAGTAGAACTTCAATTTACAAACTTCATCTTCTAATTCTTTCACTGTCATCTTCAGGTAAAACCTCAAATTCTGAATTTCATCTTCTAACTCTTTCACTGAAAGCTTCAAATTGTTCATGCTCTTCAGTAGACCAGGAATGATAGCCTTAGCACGATCACACATTGGAGGATCAAACCATCCAAAGAATCGACATTTTGAGTCCTTTCAAAGATGAAGCACACAAAATTAGGGCAACAATAAGGTGTTTGATTGCAAAAATTAGAACGCTACTTTACCGGTAGAGGGCATGCGTAGAACCGTCGGCCTGGATTGAGTGGAGTCCACGATGTTCGCAACACAGAATTGTTGCCACAGAAGCATATGATCGTTACCATTTTTGCAGAGAGAGCCATTGGGGAAGATGGGTTTAAGTCGAGGTTAAATAGAGAAATTAGATTGCAATTTTGGTCCCATAAATGTGAGGACAAAAATACCCTCGCGTGCATGGCACGTGGAGAAGAAAACGGAATGCCTCTAACGGCAGTTAGAGGCAGGGACCAAATTCACAGCTCAAACATCAAATAAGGACGTTTTTTGCTAGCAAACTTTTTTTTGGACTTTACCCACAGAAATCGGCAAACCATAGGGACCATTTTTGCAATTTTGATTTATGTAGTATAAAAAAATGGTGTAAATGACTGGATTTTGTGGTAGTTTAGGCTCACAATATCAACAGCCAGATGAAACTACAAGTCGACTCAAATATAAAATTGAAAAGGAAAAAACAAAAAGAAAAAATGTAAAAGAAAAGTAAGATATACATAGAGACATAAAGATTCGATAAAAAGTTGTATAAAATTGAAATTGGACGGTTTGAAACATCTCCTAGACAGGAACATCCCATGTTTATTTTGACGTCAGACGCTATAAAACCAAACGAGTATTTAAAGACGATTGAAATGGACTTGTTGATATAAAAATGCAACCAGGACCACCCACATTCTATCTTCTTAAGCTGGTACCAAAAAAAACAAAGAAAAATGTTACTCAACCAACATTCCTATCTTAAATCTTCCTAATTTCTGTGATCACCGCAGATTGTATTATACATATTATGAACACAACATAATAAGTTTAACAACTATATATACCAATCAAGTCCATCACAACAAGCTAGATTAAAAGGATGTAACAAAACCCATCACACAACTACACAATATCCGTATAAACTCTGCACTTTGATTTATATAAAAGTTAACTTTAAAGTACAATTCAAAACAACATTCTTCTGACAAACAATTACAAAGATACACTCAGATATAGATGTTGAATATGTAAAGAGTTTAGGAAAGGATAAACAACACAAGTAATTATAATAGTTAAGACTCTCTGCCAAGAGTTTAATCCACTTTGACAAAGATACACTCACCATCTCCATAATCTCCACTCACTGATGGTTGATTCACTAAAACATCATATATTTAAAGGTAGATTCGAAACTTTGTTTATATGTATTGCATAATTGAGTTATCAAACTCTTATTGTAAGAGGATAATATAGATTTAACTCACGTTAAACTCAAACACTTCAAAAACATAAGATCGTAAAAGAAATAGTATGAGTGTCTTGATGGTCTGTCTAATTCAAGATTACTGGATGAAATGGTTATACTCAGACATTTTTTGCCTCTTGTGAAATGGTTAATACCCAGTGACACTTTCTATCTAATTTCGAATTGTTTGAACAATTTTTAAAAGCTCGGCTATATAATAACAACTAAAGAGATAAGATCGGGTTAAAATCTTAAAATCCTAGTCGGATTTCCCATAATAGATCTTACTTTTTTGCTTGTAAGATCTTATGACCAGGATGGTTTCTTACTTTTTTGTTTTCTCTAAATTTATAGCCTCCCCCCCTCCTTTTTTTTTCCAAAGCGAAATGTTCGGGAAATGCAACATATTGTCAGTTAACCACATCAATGGGCCATACATAAATAAATAAAAAAGAGTAGGGACCAAAATGATGATCTTTCTTGTCACCTTTTCTTTTTTCTTGCTCTTTTAATTTAGCAATAAAAATCTCCAAATTAATCACTATAAGAATAATAATAATGAAAATAAACCACCATTGTTGTTGGTGGTTATAATGTATAAAACTAAAATAATAAAAAACATGGTGACCGGAGGTGGTGATACTGCAACCGAGCCACCACCAAATATCATCCCAAAGTAGTCACCATCATCACCACCGCCACCGCTTCTCCCCGTGTTCCCACTTGCACTATCCCCAGTGATGGTGCCATCAGTGAATGACTCGCTTCCATCATCATCCCTATACAAACAAAAGGAAAACACAAACTTTAATAACTTGTACATCATGCAAAGAAAGCAGTACACATTAATGTGAAGGGTCTAAAAAAGTAGGCATTTATAAATTGAATGCTTTTAATCAACTTTTAATGGTTAGTGGTAACTTCATAAAGGGGTTACAAAAGTCGCTTCAAAAGTGAATCTAGAGGTTATTGTGGAAATCAGTGATATGATTTTGCAATGATGATTGACTAAAATTTACATATTACTATAATTACATACCTTCTATAGTCAAAGGTAAAAAATTAAAAATTACCACAAACATTGCTATATCAAATAAATAAAGTTTTATTTTTCGATTATTTTTTCTACAAATTTTATTTTCGGTCACAAATTGATACAAAATCAAAACTTTATTCGTCAAAATCAATCTTATCAGTATTTTGTAATGATTTTCATTAAACAAACATAGCAAAAGTTGGAAAACAAATTTTGGAATAAGAATATGTGTGCATCCATAAATAACAAAAATAAAGATATTGTATTAATTTAGAAGGAATGATTTTGCATTGCAGCTAATCCCCATGTTGTGGGGCCATTGCATGTACTCAGAAGTCAGAATTTCCAGCTTGCTTAAATATTTCCGTTCAGGTCCTGACAGAAATGATTTTGACATTTCTCACCCAGGAAAACAAAATCCTGTTACATTATATGGTAAAGTCAAGCTCTCTTTTTTTGCTTAATTTATTCAGAGAATCTTTTGCCCCTTTTACGGATTCACCACACATGAAAATGACAGGATTGTCCTTATGTTACTTTTCTACTAAACCAGTTACTTAGGTGAGCTCCATTCACAAATGAAAATGACAGTTCTGCCCTTTTCCTAATTCTTTAATTGTGTGACCTAAGAGGACATTTTCGTCAGGATCTACTAAACCAAGTCCCTAGTGATTGACTTAATGAAACCCTTTTTCCTAGACAGTATTATTATAAGTGTGAGCTACTAAATCATGTCCCCTTTTGCATAATTTGATATGGAAAAAGACAGGATTGCCCTTTCCCTAATTGTTATCTAATAATCTTTTTGCTATAAGAATGGATGCAAGTGGGACTTTTGGGCCTTAAAATAAATAAATGGTATTTGCTCCTTTTCCCAAGATAAAAAAGACACTTCATGCCCTTTTTTTAAGGTGCTTCCAAGACGGCAGTGGGGACTCGTTGGCCGCTAAAACATAGTGTTTGGTGCCTAAAAAACCATTGGTTCACACATATAATATTAGTTTACTTTACTCTTCTTTGTAAATAAAATCCACTTAAATGACTTCTTGTACATCATGAAATACGAGTTGTCCTCTGAGATGAATAAGAAATTTTGTGAAGACAACTCAAGACCGTTGGCGTATTTGGTTACTTTATTATATTCCCCGCACGATCACGTGCACCCATGTAAAGTTATGTGGGGTTACATCATGTGTCTGTAGTTTTACTTTTTCCTGCTTCCATTTTACTATTGCCAGCTCATTTCATTCATACAAAAGATACCCCATACGAATTTGCCACCAAATTAATCATCATACTATTGGAAAGAAAGTCTATGCATACATTTGTTTTTGCAACTCAGCCGTGTAGAAGCGAAAAGTGGAGTGGAAATAGCATATATTGAAATATTCTTCTAACCACTACCATGCAAGTTGGGTGGTAAGGGCCAAGGCAAATTTGGATAGTGAAATTACTAAAAAAACCCTTTATTGGTAATGCTAGTTGTAAAGGAAAGAGTATGTAGGGGCCAATGTAACATACCTGGGTCCACCAAAGACTCCCGCGTTCATCGTGAGCTGGGTTACGAGGGCGGCCGACTTTGGTTCATAGCTGGCCGCCTTCGCATAGATGGCACTCATGCCATCACCTGAGGGCACGAAGAACGCACCGTTCACCATTATATCACCATCCGTCCGCCAGTTCCACCCCGCCCAATTTCCCTCATCCGTGTCCACTCGCTTCGTTACCTTTTAAAAAGCAATATACCCAAAGATTAGAATTTTAAAATTACAAGGTTTAATCAATAACATGCATTTAAAAGTGAAAAAGATTGTACATCCAAACCTAGAGATTGAAGATTATGCCAAAAATGGAAAAGATAAAGCAAACCAAAAAAGCATAGATGTTTCACCAAACAAAACCTAAGTACTTCATCATTATTTGATATATTACATCGGTCTCACTCTCAATCCAACATACACACACCAGTATAACATGTTGTGTCCTAAAAACACACAAACAAATCGACCAAAATAATAAATCTTAATCAAATTTAAGCAAAATATGTATTTTGAATAAGTTACCTCTTTGGAGTCTGCATTCGGTGGTGCAATATAGCGGTTTCCCTGACTATTGATTGTCGGGTCAGCACTGCCACCAATGGCGTACATCTTCCATTCTGTGAAATCGTTGTTTACAACATGGAAATATCCATGTCTACACCTTGGCATTCTTTGAATCAAACCTCTCCCAAAATGATTAAATGCAAATGTGACCTGTATAAAACACACACAAACACCAACAACACATTGTAAGGGAAAGATTTAGTAATAATTTACAGATGATTAATGCACCAAAAAGATTTTACCTGCATCCCTTTGTCAGGCATGTACGCATCGTCATGACCCATGAGCATAACTTCATTATGATGAGTGAAATAGCTGTTTGAAATGGTAATGGCGGTGGACCCCAAAACAGCGTCAATCAAGCCATCCGTACAGTGGGAGAGAGAACAATGATCTATCCATAGGTTTCTTGATCCAGCGATGGATATTCCATCACCGTCGGATTTGCCTCTATACCCAACATGCGTTGGACTTGACCGTATGTTAGTATTCCCCGATGGTTTACAGTCGTAGACGCGTATGTTGTGGATGATGACGTTGCTGACGTACTGGAGCGTAATACAGCCACCGCCGGTGATTGCGACGTTGGCACCGCGGCCGTCGATGGTTTTGTAGCTGTTGACGATGAGCTCGTGTTTGAGTTTGATGACCATGTTGGATGAGAAGACGATCCAGAGGGGTTCGGTTTGTAAGACGCCGTAACGGAGGGTGCCCGGAGTTGGGCTGACGACGTCGTGATCGGAAGAGTCGGTGACGACGTAGATCTGGCCGCCTTTACCGCCTAATGCGGATTTTCCGAACCCAATAGCGCAGTCAGCGAGACGTTGGCGGTTTTTCGCCCCAGTTTGGGTCGCAACGCCAACAATCGTCGATTGGGTTTCCGGTGAGACATCCACCGCCGGTGTCCAGCATTTCTCTTCTGTAAATCGACACATTCAGTCTCCTGTAAGTCAAAAAAAAAAAGGAAATCAGTCAAAATAATCCAAAATAAAGCAAATTTACACGGAACACCAGTTATAGTACGCGGAAAAACACTACTTTTTTCCCAAACTTTTTCCGGTGATTTCCAGCAGAATTTCTGGAAAACCCAGAAGGTAGAATGTGGTAATGAGTACAACCCAGATCAGAACTTCTCTAAATCGTATAAAAAACAGTCATATTTCTTGAAATTTCTGTTAAAGAAGTGAATCCCAACTGGTAGAACACAGTAATGAGCAAATCCACATTCCTAAATTCCCCATTTAATCCCCAAAAAAACAGATTCATGTGTAGAAGGAAAAGGAAGCAAGATGTGGGAGCATGCAATATGCACTAAGATCATACCCATCCTTGTTTTCTTGAATTTTTTATTAAAAAGAATGATACCCAGCTCGTAACACACAGTAATGAGCAGAACCCAGATGACATTTCTCCTACTTTCCCCATTTATCTCCATAAAAATATCAAGACTTCTATTTGAAGAAGAGAGATAGCCAAAAGATCTTACCTTTGTACTTCTTGAACAACAGCTTCAGGATTAGGGTGTTGATGAGGGAGTGTGAGGTTAAAAGTAGCTCTAATGGCAGAGAAGAGAGATGTTAGGAGGCAAAAGAATAGAATGTAGGTGTTAGAAGAGTGAGCAGGAGCCATATTTTGTGTCGATTTTGAAGGATAAATGCAATAAATGGAATGGGGTTTAATGGGTTTGTCAAGAGAGCTGAAACAAAACACTTGCATTCAACATGAAGGGCAGAGGGAGGAAGGAGGAAGTCGATAGAAATGCGACCGGTGGTTTATAGATATAAATATAATAATAATGTCATTGGCAAATCGGTGAGTAAAATATTAGCAATTGGCAAAGAGAATGTGATGTTAAAACAAAAAATGGGTGAGAAATATATTAATGGTTTAAGGTAGTTTTTCTGCTTTTCATTGTTTTTTTGCATAATGAATACACGAAGGTGAAAGGAAAAAAGAAAGAGATATTTAGTAAAATTATCATAAAGTGAGGCTTATATTTAAGATAAGAATTATTCCTTAAAATCACCGATATATGGTGCCATATTTATATGGGTGTGATAATTTTGTTATAATTTTTTTTAAGATTAATCTAAAATTTTAAAAATAACCAAAAATAACTTTTGAAATGGCAAGTGGGCTCATGAGTTATGGTTTCATCTAATAAGCTGCATTTTGGACCCTTACATGCGATTTCATGTATGATATTTAAAAAATCGATTTTTTAGGTAAATATGATTGTAGAAATTGCAAATGGCTTATGAAGAAGGGATAATGACTTGAGAGGGTAACATACTATTGCATTTTGTCACATTTGGCCACTAAACTTTTTTTCGTGCTTTAATAGCCATTTAACTTGTTCATTCGTGTAAATTTCCCCCCTACGACTGCTTTTTGCCGGTTTCAATGGACTGGTCGATCCTACGTGTCGGTTTGATCCTACGTGGCATGTAGGGCTAATGTTATTAAAAGAGGGGTGTATGTGGTTCCTTGATTGTGCCCTAATACCCCGATGGCTTCCTCCTACAGCTTCTCATCATCCCTCAATCGATCAAGCAAGAAATCAATTGCGAACGATCCAAAAACTTGTGATTGTGGGTTCCCTGCACGTATTCTAACATCAAAAACACCAAAGAATCCAGGGAGGCATTTCATGGTGTGCAATGAGGTAAACTATTTCACTTGAATCTTCTCCCTTTTCTGATTCTTTTTTCCTAATTTGAAATCTCATTATGAGTTATTTGTGTTGAAGGGTAAATGCAAATATTGGAAATGGTTGGATGTAGAACCTGTAGAAATGCCTCTAATGGAAGTGGTGGAGGGAATGAAAGCTGAATTAGTAGCATTGAAGACCGAAGTAGAGAAGGTGAAGGAAGACATGGAACAAATGAAGAAGGAAAAGTACTCTGATGCCATTGCAATGAAGGAAAAAATATATAAGTTTACCATAGGATTTCTTTTTTTGATCATCGTGTATATGATGAAATGATGTGAATGATGTATTGAAAGATGTTGTTTGAATGGAATGAATGTATTATCTTAACTTCTTGTTGGAATGAAATGAAGTAATTTTGACTGGAATGGAATCACAAAGTAGTAATTTTGACTGGAATGAAGGCATATATGTACAATTAATAGCATTACACATCAAGACTTCTTTCTAACTCCAGTCAAAAGCTTAGCTAATTCCAGTCAACAGCTTAGCTAATATGACCATAATCTTTCATAATGCTCAATTAGACTTCCTTCAATTAATAACATTACACATCAAGATGTCTAAATAACTTGTAACAGACTAGAAAGTAGGAATTGACGAAACTACCCTTGGTAGTTAAAACTGATTAACTGTCATATTATCTAAGCTAACAATATAGGATTCCATTCTTTGACTGTAATGGAATCAATGAGACAACAATGCATAGAAATAATAAGAAACTAATTGAATATGGTGGTTGAATTCATTGAAATACTCCATCAATATTCTAAATTAAATAAAGGGTGAGTAGTTGTCTGCATACACAAAAGATAGGACAAAAGATTCCTTCTAGGGACCACAAAAGAAGGGCCACCATGTGCCCACAAACCCAAAAGAAAAGCATAAATAAAACATAGTATTGTCTTTACATCACAACTTGATAACAAAAGATGTGCCCACCCACTACCTACACACCAATTTAAGTAAGGACTACAGGGTTCTCTGCACTGCTCCCAACCCCAGGTATGTTCCTCCTTAATGCCATTTTGACAATCCTTTCAGAATATTTCCTCCGTCTAGTTCTACCAATTGGGGCCCTTCTTGGGACAGGCCTTGCAGCTGGTGGTGGTGGTGGTGGTGGAGGTGGTTGGGCTGCTACTGGTGGTGGTGGAGGTGGTTGGGCTGCTGCTGGTGGTTGACTTGGTCCTGCTCCACTACCCCTGGATGAACTTGGTGCTGCAAAAAAATTAAAGTCTCAATTACTTATCAAAATGATGTATTATGTTCAGATGATTGGGACATTTACCTGATGTATTTGTTTGCTGCTTAGATGAACACTTTTTCTTGTTATGACATGGTTCCTTGCAAATACTACACTTTATCAGGGATCCCCTTCTGGTCACAGAATGTCTAACTGGTCCACTCAACTCCCTTTCCACTGCATCCCTCTTCCTTTTCACTGATGGCCTACCAGGTAATCTTCTTCTTTTGGGAGGCAAAGGCTTTCGATAAGGAACTTCTGGCCACATATCACTACCATTGAGAGGGTTAATGCTATAATTATAGCATTTTAGATAAGCCTCTTTACTGTATGATTGGGACACATATGTTTATGCATCTTGATTCAGGGAAGAGATTGCAGCTACTCCATGTAAGCATGGTATCCCTGTAAGTTGCCATATTCTGCATGCACAAGTCTTTGCAATTAGATCCACTCCATATGCTGCATCATTGAACCTAACTTCATACTTTTGATAACCACAAGGAGTAACCCCCCACAACCTGTATAAGGCAATAATGACTACAAATTAATAACTAATAACACAAACTAATACTTGGACAGATGAATTGTAAAACTACATGTTACCTCTGTTTAACCTACAAATCTTGTATAAGCTTCCTAATACTTGGACAGATATTCAAATCCCATTCAATTCCTTCTACTCTTTGACTGTATATCCTCTCCATCACAAATATCCTAATCTCCTCTAGCATAGTGATGATTGGTTTCCTTCTAGCATGCCTAATAGCAGAATTGAAACTCTCACTCACCCCATTCTCAACTGCATCACAATCTCTGCCCTCTTTAAAAAATTCCTTAGACCAGGTAGTAGGATCTCTGTCTATAAGGTAGTCATATGCTTGAGTATCTAAAGATTTGATCTTTTCTATTACATGTTTGAACTTCTGTTGAGTACTAGCTCTGACAGCCCTCCAAAAAAGCTTCCTGAAATGTTGACTGGTAAACCTTTTAGCAAAATTAGCCACAATGTGCCTGGCACATTGTCTGTGTTCAGCTTCTGGACACCTTTCCTTTACTGCTTCTAGCAACCCCTGCAAATAACAACAACAAAATTAGTGAAACATGCATAAAAACAGATGTATAAATATGAACCAATGCTCACCTTGTGTCCATCAGAAAGAAGGGTAATGCCTGCACCAAGACCACCATCAATATCATCCATGAGGAGATCTATGAACCACTTCCATGTGGCCTTGTTCTCAACTCCAACTACAGCTCATGCTATAGGGTAGATGTGGTTGTTTGCATCCCTCCCTACAGCTGCCAAAACTTCTCCCCTAACAATACCCTTTAGAAAGAAACCATCAAGGCCAATCACAGGCCTGCACCCCTCCTTCCAACCATCACTTATAGCTTTAAAACAGACATAGTACTTAGAAAACAAAGTTGTGGAATCTGGCATGATGTCTACATCCATCCTCACATTAGACCCAGGGTTTGTCCTCAGAATTTCATGACCATATGACCATAATCTCCCATAATGTTCAATTAGACTTCCTTCAATTTCTTGTAATGCAAATTTCTTTGCATTTATGCATTGCCCCTCACTCACATTTATATTGAATGTTGTTGAAACTTTAGCTTTCATCTTCCTAACACTCATTTTTGGCTTCTCTATAATTTCACTCATAAACTGTTTTCCTAACCACTTATAAGTTACTATGGACCCAAACTTAAACACCCTGCTACAATTATGTTCACTAACTAAAGATTTTATCTGAAAAGTCCTCTATTTACTCATCCAAGAGGCCCAAAGTCTAAATGGACAATTAGGTGACTTGTTTTTTTTGCAACACTTAACTAACAACCTTTGGGATTCATTTTTTTCAAACCAGAGATCATATCCATTAGCAACTGCATAGTTGCTCAACATGTTTTTAAGCTCATCAGGGTTAGAAAATCGCATACCTAACAGTGGTTTCATCTGATTCCATGGTTGTCTATCATCATGTACAGGGTATTGAGGTTCAACATATTCAACATCTTCATCTAATGTGTGTAGACAAAGTTTGTTTAAGAACCTGTCACCCTTGGTTTTGTTGGCTGGGAATGGATATTCAACATCATCTTCTTCATGGTCAACAGAATAAGTCTCCGACAATACTGAGTCTTCATCCTCTTCACAGCTGTAGGCTTGATCTTCATTTTCCTCTTCCTCAATCCATTCGAAGATTGGTTCATTATAGTGGTCCACATACACATTCATTCTCCTCTCATTTGCATAAGCCAAATCCAAAAATTCTTTGTAATCACCGTCATTCACCAGTGTATGAATTCCCTGACTTAAAGACTCTTGTGGAAGGCAGAAGTAAATGTCTTTGCTTCTAGTTCTGGTGAGCTTTTGAAGGAATTCCATGAACTCCTCGTACTCAAATGCACTGATGTCAACATCTCCTACTGATTGTCTATCGGGATCAAAGTATACTAATGGGTTGGGTGCAAACGTTCCATTATAGTGGAAATTCACTACAATGAAGTTTCGATCAATAGGACATTGTGATGAAGCCATTACAGAGACCGATTGAAGATTGAAGGAGAAAAAATCGGGGGTTAATGAGACGTGCCCTAATCGAATTTAAGGACCAAACGAGACTTCACTCTTAACTTTAATGAGGATGGGAGGCAAAATCGGGGCCTACATGCCACCTCATTGGCCACCTAGGAAAAAAAAGCCACATCAGACCCATGCAATCGTAGAAACCGGCTATAATCAGTCATAGGGGGAAATTTTACACGAATCAACAAGTTAAATGGCTATTAGAGCACGAAAAAAAGTTTAATGACCAAATGTGACAAAAATCAATAGTATGTTACCCTCTCAAGTCATTATCCCTATGA